ACCCTACCTAGACGGGGTGTGGGAGGTTGCCCGCGCCAACTTATAATTAGCAAAAATTAGTGAGATAAGTTAATATTTTATATTGTTGCTATTGCAATTGCTCTCTGAGAGTGATTTTGCGATATTCTGAAATTTTAGTTTAAACAATTAACATTTCAGGCCTCAATGTTACGTTAAAAAATGCTTTCTGATATCTTCTCTTTTTTAATCCAATTTTTGTCAATAATAGTGCATAGTTTATGCTCAATTGATGACGTCATTTGTAATAGTGGGGTCGTGTGGCGCAGTCGGAAGCGCGTTCGGCTCACACCCGAGAGGTCGTGGGTTCGAACCCTGCCCATGTCACCGATCTTGTGCCCTTGGGAAAGGCACTTTACCCGACTCTCCTCACTTCACTCAGGTGTAAATGAGTACCTAGCTTCGGCTAGGGACGTCCCTCGGATAGGACGTTAAATGGAGGTCCCGTGTTTGGGAGAGCCACACCCCACGCACGTTAAAGAACCCACCGCACAAAGAGTAGGGGAGCTTCCCGGTGTGAGTGGTTCAAGCCTTACAGTCTGGTCTCGGGGTTGACATCTTTGAAGAGGTGATAGTCACCTGTTATGTCAATCCTTCCACAAATGTGGTAAATCGTCATAAAAAAAATAAAATAAAATAATATATATAGCGTCACTGAATGCCATCCAGTAAATTTCTGGCGGCGACCGACATAAATAATTTATCAAGGCCCATGGAGCCGGTTCTTTCACTTGTAGAGTAGCGAACTACCACTGATCCGGTGGCACAAGATGTGCGAAAACACGTACTTCACAACCATTTTTCGACAATATAAAGCGCTTATACATTACAAAGAGAGTTTTCGTATGACTGCCATTACTTTAGGTTACAACATGTGTACTGAGAACGGGTATCTTCATCATTCTGCTGGCTGTTTGTAGAGGAACGGCGCAATAAAACAGTTTTCTATACCATCACGACTTAGCAGATAACACGCAATGAAGCCCACTTTTTACGCAGATTGTAGCACTACGTAATGTTAGACAAACTAACAGTGGATGATTTCAGGAATTCACAGGAAGCACAATGACATATAATGTGACGCATATACATTATATAGCACAAAATGAAGAGTAACAGAAGTGTAGTCGTGTTTGGCCGGGTATGGCAAGTTATATAAGGTACATGTATCGGTTTAATCTTTAACGGATAGGTTGATTGCAAGATGAATAGGTTCCAACTACTTTTGTAGTTTACTTATGTATAGTGCCCGCGCCAACTTTGATGTCGGATTTATTTTGTTTTATTTTCTGTCATCTTTATACAGGGTGGCCCATTCAGTGACTGCACTTGTTTTGCAAAACAAAACAAATCAGTTACATAAAAACAGTAAAATAGGGATACAATAAGAAAAACTACACACAAGACCTACCTACCATCCACAATTCATGACCCTAGGACATCCAGATCACGAGATATCAAAACCGGAAGTTCAGCGGCAGCACAATAAGAAGGTGCTAGGGGGCCCAAAATCTAATCATTTCAAGGTCTCATCAAGACCTGCTCAACTATCAAATATGAAGTTAATCTATTAAAGTCTCAATCGTGTTTACAGACAGACACACAGACAGACACACACATACACGAACGCCTCTGAAAACATAACCTTCTTGGCGAAGGTAATTATAATGACAATAATAATAAAGAAAAAACAGTAACTAACTGATAACTTTAATACATAATGATAACGTCCGTAGGGCCATTAAAATTAATGACTTTTCCTAAAATATTATTGGCAGAAATTTCATAGCAGTGAAATTTAATAAAACGTTTTCGTGTTGCCATGGCAACGGGTTTCTAAAAGGCATTTTTTGCCAACATCAATAGTTTTGGCTTGAAGATTGAGATTTCTTATGTTAATGTACATATGCAATAATAACATTTTATATGATTTTATGTAATTTCTATTAATGATAATGCATAATTTATGCTTATTTGATGACGCAATTGGCCAAAATCCAAAACGGTTGACCATATCTTTAGATCACTAGTAGGTAAATTTCGGCGATTTTCCTTAAATTTTTATCCCTACTTCGATTTTTTTTACGTAAAAGGTTAATTTGTCTTAATCTTAAGTCTATTCTCATTGTATTTTCTTTGCAAGGAATATGAAAAATGCATGAAATATGCATGCAGTGAATTTCTGCATGGAGTGAAGTTACTGGCTTTGCTATAGTTGAGATACGCTTAAGTAGACCTTACCCTATTCAGTAGATTCAGACATCCAGTAGATTTCTAGCGGGGACCAATCATAGGGCTGCTGACAGGTAACCGACTAGCGGCTATTAGCACCTTGTTTCATGTAAATGCCATGAACTCTACCAGAGCGCGTAATTTTTTTCTTCAATTCTTGTAAATTACTTCCACAATTAGTTTGTAAAATCATATCTTAGTAAAATCTACTTTGATGAACGAATCGAAACGGGACTGTAGACATGAAGTTTTACACATTCAAATGGTGCTGCACTTGCGCTAATGGAGCGATCACTACGGGAAGGAACAGATCCTAGCGAAGCCGAGACTTTTGAAGCAAACCCAACCCATCGAAGACGGGCCGCCAAACACAAAAATGGAGGGATGTGACAGACAACAAGCCAACAAAGACAACATCACCAGACTAACAAACTTGTAGAACACCACATCAACTTCAAGCGCTAACGTTGTAAGAACTGTCGAACCTCAAACTACTGTGTGTTTGTTTGCGTCAGCGGAAAGGCTGCCGAAGCAACCACTACGTATACATGCAAAACTGCGGCGAAAAAGTAACATGTGATCGTCCCAAATCTAGACGCAAGTAGTGAGCTACAAAATTAATAGAACCTATGCATCTTGCTTGTTGCTGTCAACTTTGCATGGAATATGAAAAATGCATGAAATATGCATGCAGTGAATTTCTGCATGGCGTGAAGTTACTGGCTTTGCTAATTCGTCATGGTATTGAAAACTGTTTCATTGTGCCGTTCTTCTACAAACAGCCAGCAGAATTATGAAGATACCCGTTCTCAATACACAAGCTGCAAACTTGTAAAGTAATGACAATCCTACGAAAATTCTCTTTGTAATGCTTTATATCGACGAACAATGGTTGTGAAGTACGTGTTTTCACACATCTTGTGCCACCGGATCAGTGGTAATTGGCTACTCTACAAGTGAAAGAACCGGGTCCGTGGGCCTTAAGAAATTATTCATAAATCGGTCGCCGCTAGAAATTTACTAGATGGCATTCAGTGACGAGCCCCCCTCCCCCTTAAACCCCCCCCCCTTAAAAACCACCCTAGATAGGTTTAAGTGGGTTTAGATATGTAATTTTATTCAAAGGGTCTACATGCTATATATATCTGTATCGGTATACCCGGTATAACGGCCCTTCGTCGTAGCACACCAGCTTCGCAGGCACGCGGCGCGGAGGCAGCTAGCTATATCACACCGAACGACTTGTTACCTTTAATCGTTGCATATTTAATTGTAGGAGTGATGTTGCCCCAACTGTGCTTTGTGGCAACGAGCTCCGTTCCACGATTACTCTTCGAAAATACGACTTTTTGAAAAACTCAATGTTGAACTCCGATATTTAAAGGTATCATGCTTCTTGTTCTTTTCTGGGCTGGTATTAGCTATAGATACTTAGTGGTTGGTATGTCCAGTTTTGAGTCATTTTGTACATTATGCATAGTCTTGACTATCGCTCCGCTTCCTGTGCCGTCTACGTTCCCTAGAACGCCGCGAACGAGTCGAGCGTGCTCTGCGCGGCCGATCTTCCTCACTGCTACTGTTACTGCCACATGGCAATGTGGAGCTGGAGCGGTGGTTTCCTCCTCTCTCAGCGATCTTGCCCCGTGCACGAGACGTTGGCTCCAGTAAACCATCCAGCACTTGATCTACTTCTCTCACCAACTTCTTCGACGCCCGCAGATCCCTCACAGTATACTGCTCCGATTCTTTCTTTGATGTCGCCGGCGACTCCTGACCGCTCGTGAACGCGGACTTCAGGCGTGGAACTTCTGGTGGCTCACTGTAAGCCCTCGGGGGTCGAGCCTGGTTCCCGTCCACCCGTCCCGGAGACAGGTCTGCTGTCTTGACCGGTACAGAACGTTGCCGGGGCGTCAGGACCTCTTCTGACTCATCCGATGTGCTCTCGGACCATACCCGCCGCGCAATCTCGTCCACCTTGCTCTCCTTCCTGAGAAGTCGAACCGTGTCCTTCAGGAGGGAAAAGAACGCGTCCGAGTCTGACGCTCCCTCCACTCTTTTCTATATATAGTGGCATTTCCCTGGACCACACAAGCCCGGATGTCCCTTCACAGGCAGACGACATACCAAACACCTCCTAGATTGACGATGGCGCCGAGATTCCTTCTCCATACCGATGACTCAAAATTCAAACGGAGCGAGCCGAAAACATGCAGTCTCCCCCCACAAAACAAAACCAAACGAGATAGTTCGGCAGTCACGTGGGGGAGCGGTCACGTGGTTTTTGGGCCGATTGAAATATTTTGTTATGAAGTAAGTTTAAACTGTAATTTCCAACTAATTTCCAACACAACAAAAATTGGACTCACCCAAATTTTCGACTGTACAACTCCAGTCTTTTTCAAGGAATGAGCAATCCACCGCTTCCGTGACGTCACGCAGATAACACACGTGACTCCGTGAGCAGTGCATCATAGGTTGCAGAAAGTCTGTGGCGCCCCCCGTCTCTGTTGAGGGATGGCTGTAAAACCCTGATGTAGATGGCCTCTTTAATCCCTCGTGCAAAAAATTCCGGTTCTGTGTCCAAGATTTTTACTTTGTCCAGTGAGACTGAATGTCCAGGGGATTCTATATGTATATGTTGTGAAACCTCAGAGGTAGTTGAGCTAGGTCGTTTGTGTTCTAGGAACCTAGCCTTGAGCGATCTTTCAGTCTCTCCGATATAGGTTTCCTTACATGGGCCCTTGGAATTCTGTCCTTGACACTGTATGTGGTACACCACCCCACATTTGCTTTCTTTTGGTGTTTTGTCCTTTGGTGAAACCAGTATGTTCCGGAGGGTTTTGGTTGGTTTAAAACAGGTCTTAATCCCGTATGTAGCAAAGATCCTTCTGAGCCCTTCACTCAGGCCTTTTCTGTAGGGCAGGACAACTAGGCCTCTATTCGGGCTCTTGTTCTTACTCTGGTACTGGTTACCGACTGTGGGTTTTGGACTATTGGCCTTATCTATAGCCCAAGTGGGGTACCCACACTTTCTTAGTGCCTGTGAAATGTGAGCTTTCTCCTCTTCTAAGTCTTGGGAGTCAGTAATAATTGTTTCCGCCCTGTGGAACAGGGTGCGGATAACCCCGAGTTTATGTTCCAGGGGGTGAGTGATTGAGCCAATACTACTCACTATTGGTCTCAGTGGAATACCAGTTTTGTGTATTTTTGGAAGACCATAAAATTTAGGAGGAACCTCAATAGTTGGGTATAGTTGTCTGTAAGAAATTCTGTTTAGCCCACCTTCTTTCTCCAAGCGTTGGAGCACAGTCACTAGCTGTTTCTTGTATTTCGATGTAGGATCTCTTTTCCCCAATCTCTGGTACGTATTACTACCCCCCAGTAATTCTGTACACTTCTGTTGGTAGTCTACTTTATTCAAAACAACAGTAAGGCGTCCTTTATCCGCCGGTTGTTTTGAATAAAGTAGACTACCAACAGAAACCCATGCGCCAAGTTTCTGGCAGATACTCTGTCCCCTCTAGTTGGGAACACTGTACATCACATTAAAAACTCACAACTGTTTGTAGAAAAGATAAAACATGAGCGGGTAGAGGAAGACGAGGAACTACGTTCATACGACGTGACAGCTCTGTTTACCTCAGTGCCAGTAGATAAAGCAGCCGATGTAATCTTACAAAGACTAAAGGAATACAGCACTTTACCACAACGTTCCAAACTTTCCCCTGAACAGTTAGTGGACTTGTTGAAGGTGTGTCTGAACTGTACTTACTTTGTGTATGATGGCATTTTCTACAAACAAATCCATGGAGCTGCCATTGGGTCACCTGTGTCCCCCATGGTGTGTAATCTTTATTTAGAACATCTAGAACAACGTGCCATTAAATCTGCCCCACACCCCCCTGTGTGGTGGTACAGATACGTTGATGACACTTTCACCAAGCTCAAGAAGGCGTACGCACAAGAGTTCACAGAACATCTAAATGACCTTGACCCTGACATAAAGTTCACATTTGAAGAGGAAGAGGAAGAGAATAGGTCACTAGCCTTTTTGGACACGCTAACAACAGTGAAAGAGGACGGGTCCCTGCAGGTTAAGATATACCGCAAACCCACACATACTGACCAATATTTAAACTTCCATTCTAATCACCCCCTGGAACATAAACTCGGGGTTATCCGCACCCTGTTCCACAGGGCGGAAACAATTATTACTGACTCCCAAGACTTAGAAGAGGAGAAAGCTCACATTTCACAGGCACTAAGAAAGTGTGGGTACCCCACTTGGGCTCTAGATAAGGCCAATAGTCCAAAACCCACAGTCGGTAACCAGTACCAGAGTAAGAACAAGAGCCCAAATAGAGGCCTAGTTGTCCTGCCCTACAGAAAAGACCTGAGTGAAGGGCTCAGAAGGATCTTTGCTACATACGGGATTAAGACCTGTTTTAAACCAACCAAAACCCTCCGGAACATACTGGTTTCACCAAAGGACAAAACACCAAAAGAAAGCAAATGTGGGGTGGTGTACCACATACAGTGTCAAGGACAGAATTCCAAGGGCCCATGTAAGGAAACCTATATCGGAGAGACCGAAAGATCGCTCAAGGCTAGGTTCCTAGAACACAAACGACCTAGCTCAACTACCTCTGAGGTTTCACAACATATACATATAGAATCCCCTGGACATTCAGTCTCACTGGACAAAGTAAAAATCTTGGACACAGAACCGGAATTTTTTGCACGAGGGATTAAAGAGGCCATCAACATCAGGGCTTTACAGCCATCCCTCAACAGAGACGGGGGGCGCCACAGACTTTCTGCAACCTATGATCCACTGCTCACGGAGTCACATGTGTTATCTGCGTGACGTCACGGAAGCGGTGGATTGCTCATTATTTGAAAAAGACTGGAGTTGTACAGTCGAAAATTTGGGTGAGTCCAATTTTTGTTGTGTTGGAAATTACAGTTTAAACTTACTTCATAATGACTTCTACCAACACTGATGAACTTTCAAGAATAGAAATATTTTGTTGTAAATTACGAAAAATTTCCATGCGGACAATTTTTTCCACATTTTTTTCCACGAGCAACTACTGTAGATTTCTTTTCAATTCCGTTAACTAGCACCCCTTTCACTCCTTTGTGCAAAATCTTGATGCTTGGTTCTGTACCATGTTTGTATGTGTCTTTCTTGTAATAAATGTTGAAATTAAACAGTGAAAATGACGTAGTGCGCTTTACACTATATATAACATACTAAGTACGTCGTTGACCGTACTTCCATGAGACTTAAGTGAAATTGGAATCAACACTATTCGTCTGGTGCTACTTTAATTAGATACCTAAATTACATTGAAAAAAAGTAAACTTCACCTTTCAAACGGGTCACGAACAACGATGATCTTCCTGTAGGTCGCAAGACGCAGACTTAACTCTTCCTCACTGTAGTGCTTCATTTTTTTATGCCCTCGTCCGTGGATCCAACCACTCTTGTGCGCGTTAGGAGCGATATAATCAGCTTCCTTTCCTTCGAAATCGGCAGTACCAACACTAATCAACCTTTCGGTTTTATTGTACTCTAGATTGTAAAATAACAATTTCATTGTTTTGCACCCAGCCTTAGGAATATAGCAGTAGATTGTTTTAATGTTATCATAAAACAATAGGTGGCCCTGAACACTGACTCTCCTTGGGTCACCCTGAAAAAGGAGGAAAAAAGACGCAATGATTATATTATAACTCCTGCGACTCTTTTTGTTCCACTAGAATACTCTTTTTTAAAAGTGATAAGTACCAGACGATTTAGTGGTGGAATGGCATTTGACCTGTGATTTAACAAGGTTAAATTTTTTTGTTAGTAATTTTTAGGTTGTTTATGCTTTATTCCATTAAATAGCATTATCTTATTATATATATACCAAACAGAACATAATAGGCTACTTAGTATGCACGTAGATAGTTTCATCAGCAATGGTTAACTATTACGCTCAACAATAATAGCCAGGGGCTATTAGCCTACCAAATACCCCGGTATTTCTCCTGCTACCTTTCTTCGAGCAAATTGTTCTACCGAAGTATCACCTTGCAGGAGGATACTTTAAACCAACACGCTTGGATCTCGTTATCTTCTAGTTCTTGTGGAAAGAAATTTGTCCACCATCGTTACGTACCGTTGAGATATTTTTCTTACAGTATTCCTTAAGCGTGGCCAGTCTGCGGGACTGTTCCTCCTCAGCTTCCGCTAAGTTACCCCAGTCGTCTCAAGAAAAAAAAGGAAAGATCCATGCCATGTAAGATTTTTGAAAGGATACAATAGTATGTTACACAAATTTACCCTCGTAGTCTCATATTCAAAGATCAAATTAAGATATTTTAACATTAAGATAAGAAGAGAGTAAGCTAGGGTTTCCTTATTAGTTTACACCGCGTACCGTAGAAGGAAATAAGTGCATATAGACAAAACTCATATTTCCTCAAGCCTTTATTTTTAGCCATTCTACTAACTCCGTACATAAGCATGTATTTCTTAAAATCATTCCGCGAAGTCAGAAATTGTTGCAAAGTGTTCTAGTTTTCGTCATCGAGAATGACAGTCTACATGTACAACCAACTCTAATAATGGTGCAAGGACCTTTCAATGCACGAAAAGTGGGATTTACCACAAAGGTAAATGTGATGTTACGCCGAGTTAAAGGTCACATTCCTACTGTAAAATTACAATACGAAAATTGCAATGTAACCCAACACCAGTAACCATGGTGCCAGCCGTCTGGTTCCAGGTCATTGACCTTTTTGGTTTGGAGCAGAAGAGGAAAAAGAGGAAACTAAGCGAAAACAATAGTTTTCCTGTGGTAAAGATAGTAATAATAATAATCGGGGCTTTTACTAAACAATACTACTTCTAGCTCACCTGCCACAAGTCATTTGTATGGGGAAATGTTTTTCACATTTTTTCACATCTCGGCCCCCTCTCAATGGTCATGTACTTACTGTACAGATATGCCTATTGATCGTTGGGAAGCTTTTCCGGGGCTTTTAGCCCTAGTCTTTATGGAAGCCCCGAAAAAGAGCTTAGCCGGGGTTAAAAGAGCTTGTCGCTGGCCAATGGGAACTTACTGTACTGGGGTGGAAGTGGGGTCTTTTAGTAGTATATGCTGTTACAGGAAGACTGCATGGTTTGTCTTTAGCTCAGAGTTGGATACACATTTACCCAAAATTGATACATTTGACATACCCATGGTGAATTTGGTAAATCCACTTTTTCCGCAGTGTTCAGATCACACGTTGAACATGAAAAGGTCATTTTAAAGACATTTAATAACGCAGTATTGATAAGCTATGCACACGAAAAATCATTTGGTTACAAGACGCAATTTTGGGCTAACCGTAAAACTAAAATAAAAAAAATAAACAAAAATAAACAAAAATAAACCAAATAGTATCGAAGGAAAAATTTCGTTAAAATAACGTAAAATTCATCGTCTTCACATACATTCAATGGTAATTTTTTGCGCAAAATGGGTGAATTTTTTTATTTCGTTAGGAAAGTCGATAATTTTCAGGATTTCAGAGCGCCAGATTTTGACAAATTATCGTTCAAATGTGGCTACACATATTACACAAGATCACTGATCTTTATATATTTCTACAAATAGGAATAAGATGAAAAATAGTGTTTTGGGGATAGTTTTTGTCGACAAATGGGTAAAAAAATATATTTTTTCTTTATTTCGCACTTAATTACCCATAATTCAAAATCGAGCGCATCTTTTTTTAAATCCCTAAAACAGGATTTTCGGGAAAGCCGTTACAGTAATTTTGAACCGTCAATGAGGTATTTTAGACTCTCCATGGTCCTAGGTTTAAACGAGTTTTGCAGACATCTCATCTTGCCCGAACGCGGGGAGTGTGATATTCGTTCTAGCGTAAATAGTCATTACAACATTCAAAGTCACCCATGAATACGACAGTAGTTTCGCTACATGTTTCATGTACACAACAAAATGAAGAGCGTACATGTACTGTCCAGGAAACTGTTTATATTTATGATATTGTGATTTTGTTATGTTAGGAGGTACTCGTGTACAAAGGTTCTGAATATATACCCGGTTGTACTGTAAATGAAGGCAGGTGACCCTAAATCGAACGACGTTCGGTTCAAATTACGTCAGATCGAAAACCATTCGGGATCTGAAGCAGGTAAGGGCATTGCGGTCCGGATTTGACCACCGTGGATATCCACACATTGTTAAAAAGACCACAATGACACCGTTTTTTAAGGCCGGCGGTTTAACAGGTCCCGGTGGAATCATATTGGGTTGAAGTTTTACAGCATTTAAGAAAACAACTAAACCCCTACAAGGAAATACATGCTTAAGCGATGACGATGACGGCATAAAAGTAAAAAAAAAACAAAAAAAAACCACTTACCCTTTTCAAAATGCAATGCACTAGATACCGTTTCCTTAAATGACAGATCTACTCCATTGTAACTGATGTACATACAGGCGGCTCCGATGCTCAGAATCAAAATGGACAGAAATAGGAACTTGGGAGATGGCCGAAAAGAATTCATATTTACCATACCGAGACATATACTTTTTTTTACAATTAGGTTGATTTAATGGTTGGCAGACTCTACGATTCACCACGGCACAGTTTATGCTTTCAAAGGAGATTCTGTGAGGTACGTTTTGTATTGTTCGAAACCTCCAACTGTCATTCCCGTTGGATACCTGCAATTTAAAAGAATCATTGCACCGTAAAGTAATTTATGCCAAAAGTGATATCTAAAGGTAATAATGGAAGGAATAATAGTAGAATTAGTAATAGTAGTAGTAGTAGTAATAGTAGTAGTAGTAGTAGTAGTAGCAGTAGTAGTAGCAGTAGTAATACTAGTAGTAGTAAAAGTACATCAATCAGTTCTAAGTTGGGCTCTTTACGGAATGACCCGTTCCTGGTCCGGGAGAGGCAGGGTCTTCTGTCGTCAAAAGATGTTGAAAATATGTTAAAAATCTTTTTTTGCAGACTAGAGTTCAACAGAACTGGTTGGAGGAACCTGACGGAGGGGAGCAAGGGGCCAGTACCTGGCCTGGGCACTTAGGCAGGTAGGCAGAGTTCCACGACTTCATACCTTTACCAAATGATGTTAACCCTTCATTTATTATAATTACATTGTGTACTGTTGAAGAGATTCATTTGTCACGTATAGATACAGTTCCTAGTGAATTCTTTCATCAGTGACAACTTTGGAAGGATAAGGATACTAACCTCCAAATTTTCGATAGCTATCAGTCCGTCTTGTTCACGGAGTGGCCTTATCTCGCGAGAGCGCGAGACTAGGCCCGAGACTTGCATCGGTCTGTCAGACCCAAGGACCCTCTAGCACCTGGTGAGAAGTGCTGTGTGATCTACAATATCAAGTGTGAAGAGTGCGGGGAGGTTTACGTTGGTGAAACTGAGCGGTCACTGGGGGAAAGGACTTCTGAACACCAAAAGTCATTACATCAGAAAGATTGCAAATCTGCGTTAAGTCAACACCAACTCCAGGCTGGTCACAACATCACTACCAGGCCCATCTCTGACATTATTGAAATCATAGACCAAGAGTCTCGTAACCCACATAGGAAGATTAAGGAAGCGGTGCACATACAGTTGGAAGGTGCCAAGCTAAACCGGACAGAAGGTTGGGAGCTCCCCAAGACTTACTTACCCTTACTTCGGAGGGAGGCGGCGGGGGGTGGGACCCGACAGACCGATGCAAGTCTCGGGCCTAGTCTCGCGCTCTCGCGAGATTAGGCCACTCCGTGAACAAGATGGACTGATAGCCATCGAAAATTTGGAGGTTAGTATCCTTATCCTTCCAAAGTTGTCACTGATGAAAGAATTCACTAGGAACTACATTGTGTACTATATTGACAATGTAAATATAGTACACGGTGCAATCATAGTAAATTCATGACGCCTAGGTCAGATTTCATAGCCTGTTAACGTTAGGCCGCAACACCTGGTATGTAATAGTATGTTAACCTGACATGTAAATATAGTACACAATGTAATTATAGTAAACGCATGACGACTAGGCCAGATCTCATAGCTTGTTAACGTTAGACCGCAACATCTGTTATGCAATAGTATGTTTATCTAAAGTGTAACTGACATTATTTACTGTTACCTGTACATCCCAATTGTTGCCTTCGACAAAAGGCAATGAAATCGTTTTTGCACTGTTTTGCAGATAATGCACGATATAGTTTGATGGCATGGTCCGTGGTTCACGATTTTTGGCAGGCAGGTTGTCTTAGTGATGGGCATTGTGATGGTCAGAGATGGGCCTTGTGGAGGGGTTCTTACGTGACTGGAACTGACCTTTTGTGTTTGCGTTTTTTGTTGTTCGTCAGATAACTCGGGAATCCTTAAGTGGCTGTCTATGATTTTCAGTGGGCAAGTCGCCGTTGAGAATACGGAGGTCAAGTTCTGATATGGGCCTCGTGGGGGGGTTCCCATGTCATTGAATTTGACCTTTTGTGTTGGTCGTTATTGTTGTTAGCGGGATAATTCGTGAATCTGCAAATGGATGTTCACGATTTTTGCTGAGCAAGTTACCGTTGACAATAGGAAGATCAAGTTCAGAAAAGGGCGTCGTGGGAGGTCCGTACGTTACTGTAGTAACACTGGTCACTTTAAATTTGGAAAAGACACCAGCAACCCCAACTATAAAATTCCAGGCAGTTAGCATTATGGAATTGTTACATTTTCTAATGAATTATGCAAATTAAGTGTTAATTTACATAATCAATATCTTCTCTCGTTCTCAATTGCATGTCACAAGCTTGAATAGTCCTATAATGTAATGCAGCTGATATATAGTATTCCTCCGTTAATTATGCAAATTACATCCGGATTTGCATAATTGACGCATAATTATACCAAGCATCACGTAAGCTACCTACATACCAAAAATCACGACGATCCTTCCACCGGTTCTTGAGTTATCCTCTTTTGAATATTTTCAAACAGATAGCCCTGCAGTTCCTGAGCAATCCGTTAGGGGGCCCAAACTCACGCCTCTTCTTCCCCAGCAAAAGAGCTACCTACCATCCAAATTTCGTCTTCCCAGCATGTGTAGATCATGAGATATCAAAACCGGAAGTTCAGCTGCAGTACCATAACAAGCCGCTAGGGGGTCCAAAATCTAATCATATCCAGGTCTCATCAAGACCTACCCACCTACCAAATATCAAGATCATCCATTTTAGCTTTCTCAAGTTATGATGTTGACAGACGATAGGCTATTACATACTCATCTGGGGACCTGGAACCCCCAAGCCATCCGCTTCTGGATGCCGGTATGGAGATCACAAGTCAATAACAGGTCAAACCATGAAAAATGTCACACTTTATGGTCACATTTTAAAAATATACATTCTTCTGTCCTTCTTACCAGAAAACTGGGCCTTTCTGAGCAAAATTTGCCAAAGAAAAAAGATTAACTAAAAAAGAAGTACCGAAATAAATCATGTACACACTGCTAGTTCTGCGCATGACGATTTGCTGGTCCCTCTCCCTACAGTAGCAGAACACGTTTTTCGCCCCATGGGAATTTCTATAGTTAAGGACCCCAAGATGACTCACTTCGACGCGGTAAAAATTATAGTAGGGTGCACTTTACAAATACGAAAATCAAATATGTTTGAGAAGAAGGCACAAACTACAAAATATCTAGAAACCAAAAAATCCTGTCGGCGCATCTGCTCGTAACGTACACTTTCGAAATCGCCCTCTACGGACGTGACCTGAACTGGCGACTCACCCGGAAAGCCAGTTGCGTAATACGGCGCATTTAAACACGAACTGCAAAACCTTCACAATTCAAATCAAGTCTGTCTGACGTCTGTCTGACTCCTAAGGGAGATTGGAATCCCTATCTCCCCTAGAAGAATCTGGAATCCTCCTAGGGGAGATAGGGATTCGAATCTCCCCTAGGGGAGACTGGAATTCAAGTTTTTTTCCCCAAAACTGGGATCTGAATATCTGAATTCCAAGCTCTCCGAGGAGGATTCCAGATTCTCCTAGGGGGGATAGGGATTCCAATTTGGCTAGGACAAGTGGGAATTCTTACAAGACTATCTCCAATTAAAAAAAAGAAATTCTGATTCCATCAAAATGCTTGGGAAAATAGACTTAGTTCACACCTAAACTTTCAATCAATTTCAGCATAGGTAAGTTAATATGTAAATCAGGCAGATATTTGCATCAGGCCATTGTGAGATACTGACTCAAAAACGAGTTTTTCCAGTTTCTTAGTGACTTGGTATATAAGGGATTGTTCCCCCTACCAAGAATTAAAATCTGAATAAAATCATGGTCTGT